TACCCCTCAAAATAAAGGTGACATGATTCGGCCTTCCCTGAAGAGGTGTATCTAAGGTATGGCAGATATGACACACCTTATTTGGTACCACTTGAAGGGGGTGCCACTGAGCAGTTTCTATTAACCCAGTACTGCTCAGCATTCTTCTTCAAGCATGGCACACATCCAGAGGCATACAGCAGGGTGGGTCAGAGGGGGCAGTTTCCCCTGGGATCAGGTCTAAGGGGGCACCAGGCAAGGCCCATAATGACATTCTAAGGGGCCACAAGTATGAAAGGCACCTGACTGAGGCAACAGGACAAGTTTTTTGGCGGGGGAGGGGAGAGGGGAAGTTCTGCTGCCACATGGCTACAATCAACATCTATTCATCTCAAACTTGGCACTTATTACCCTTGATAAACCCCTACAGGGGTACAATTTCAATAATTACTATTGGTGCAATTTTTCATAGATAAGCCTCTACTTTCCTGGGTCCAGCATTTATTAATGCAAGAAATTTCTGCTCTTTCCTTATCCACCCCAGCCTCCTGGCTACTAATGTGTATACATATATATATATATATGTATATGTATATGTATATGTATATGTATATTATCCAAAACAAAAATAAAATCCAGAGGGAATAGAAGCAATAGATGCATATACCTATGTATATGCATCTATTACTCCTATTCCCACTGTTGTTGTTGGTTTGCTTTTTTTTTGGATGTACACAAAAACACTTAGGAATATATAATCATTTAAATACCCAAAGGTCATATTCTACAAGCCTGCCTCCTGGCTGCCAGCATATAGCCTTTCTCTTTCCATGAGTCTAGAATCCTCAGCTGCCCTCTCTCTCCATGTTCTCATCTTTGCATCTCTGATGTTGCTGCTTCTCTGGATAGGGTCCCACATTCCACTTGTGCTCTTCTCCCTTGATGGTTTTGGGTCCTCTGTTCCTAGACTGTGAGATTAACTACTTCCCCATTTTTGTTACAAAGCTTCTACCTTCACAGTTGTGACAGTCACAATTAGTCATGATAACAATTATTCACTATTGAATCATAAGAATCTTATCCCCATCGCTTTTCACCAGACCATCTAGATAAGATGAAAACTATTCAGGGGGGATTCTACCTTTCCCCCCACACACTCTTAAACTCCCTCTTGAAACCTTGTAAGCCAGTCACTTTATGCCTTTATAGCCCCTCCCCCCCATTTTAGGTAGCCAATGTATAAGTTGCCCGTCTCTATCAACCCTGTATATAGAAGGAATAGGATTGATACTTGATGCGAAGACTCCTTCCCTCTCAGTTGGTATTTTGAGCCACTACATCCATAAGTATAGGTCAAGTTCATCAAATTGCTGGCTACTAATATTAGTTGGAAACTTCTGTAGTGTTTTTCCAAAATGTAATGTTGTTAGTTGCTATCAAATAGAGACCCTGACTCATGGTGAATCATAGCGTTTTCAAGAGTGACAGACCATGTCTTTCAAGGTGCCTCTGGGTGGTTCAAACCACCAACCTTCTGTAGTTAAGTGCTTGACTGTTTGCACCAACCAGGGATTCCCCAAGAGATAGGTAATAGATAATAATAATTCCCCAAATGCTTCAAATTATTAAGGATCCTTACCGAATGACTTTTTAGCAGCTTATCCCACTGGATAACTCCATTTCGGTCAGAGGTAGAAGTTTGGTAGGTGCATGGGAGTGTGACACTCTTTCCCCGGGCAGCCCGAAGAGCATTCTCGGGTGTTTCCACAGTGATGGCATTGACAGTTACCCAGACTGGGGAGAAAGCAAGAAGTGGTGGGAAGAAGTAAATGACAAGGTCATATCTGAGTACCTAAGGAACCCTATGGAATGCCTAGAGACGTGTTTGTTCGTCCAAACACTGCCACATATCATGTGCTACAACAGTGATGATGGCCACGGCATACCAAATGTTCTCCTCCAAGACAGAGGAAGACACACATGGGTACCTTGGTTCTCCACTCCCCTTCCCTCAGCATCACAAAAGACATCTATGGGTATCATATAGTAGCTTAGAGCTTGACTTCATACTTCTTACCAGTTTCAGCCTCATCTATTTCATCTGTAAAATAGGAACACGAATACTTACCTCCTCAGAGTTGTTGGAAGAATTAAATAATATGTGTACAATGCTTTGTTTATTGCCTGGCACATTGAAAGCTATCAATAAATATCATTGGCTATCAGATACACGATGATGATGATTTATTTAACAAACATTTATGGAGCACTTACTGTGTGGTGAGAAGTTCGGTGAATCATTTTAGATCAAAATAATATTATTTCTTTGGTTATTTATTTCCAGGGTGGGTTGTTTTATATAACATCATCAGAAAAAGTCTCTCTGTTAAAGGTACATTTAAATAGAGACCTGATAAAGGTAAGAAAAACAGTTTATCCCATGTATTTCATCCCACATACTCTTCTTATAAGGAGCTTTGGTAGCGTAGTGGTTACGAATCGGGCTGCAAACCTTAAGGTCAGCAGTTCGAAACTACCAGCCGCTCCACGGGAGAAAGATGAGGCTTTCTACTCCCGAAAGGAATTACACCCTCGGAAAACCTGTACAGGGTCGCTATGGGTCGGAACCGACTCGACGGCACTTAACAACAACAACAACAACTCTTCTTATAATGTGGCATTGATGCTTTTCCATCAAGAGGTGGGGTCTATGTTCCCTCCCCTTGAATCTGGGCCAGTGAATACAGTATCCATGGTACTGTGTGACTTCTGAGGTAACTCATATTAGAGCTGTAGCTTTCTCTTGGTCTTCTTGAGAGGTGTACCCTGAGAATCCAATCAACATTCTGGAAGGAAGCTAACCAGCCACATGGAAAGAACAAGTACAAAATATGTAACTTCATTGTTTTGTTTTAACTAAGTTTAGGAGTAGTTAAGTCCTGGTGTGGTGCTGTAGGAGAAGCACTGGACTGCAAGGTCATTTGAACCTCAAGGTTCAAACTCACCAGCTCTTTCTTGTAAACCCTATGTTGTTGATGTTAAGTACCGCCGAGTTGGTTCCAACCTATAACGACCCTAGCGACCCTGTACAGGGTTTCCGAGGCTATAAGTCTTTATGGGAGCAAAAAGCCTCATCTTTCTCCCTCGGAGTGGCTGGTAGTTTTGAACTGCTGACCTTAAAGTTCACAGCCTGATTCATAACTACTACACTAACAGAGCTTCTGTTGGAAACCTTGTACAGTGTTGCTATTAGTAACTGACTCAGTGGCACTTAACAACACCAAGAAGCAGTAGGAGTCCTGGTGTCCCACTGTAGGATAAGCAATTGACTACTAATCACTTTACAACAAAAATAACATGTAGCAATAGATAAGAAAAACAGATAAGAAATAGATAAGGAAACCATGTGGAATCTAGATACCACAGCTTGCAAATGGTGGAGCTGAGATTTAAAGGTAGCCTGTAAGGCGCAATGCCTAGTTGGAAATTCTGTCTGATAGAGGTGGTCCTGCGAAGGGTAGGGCAGCTCTCCACACTGGCACAGCAAAGTGTCAACTTTTGCTTGAGTGGGGTGGGGTGGGGCTGTCTTGGATCCCAGAAAAATTCATTTCCTATCTTGTTGTTTTGTTCACATCATACCTCTCAGCCCTGCCACAGAAACTGTGACATGCTTTCTTCAACCCATCCACAAGAATTTAATATGAGTCTGCTGTGTAGAACCAGTCCCCTGATCTAGTCTGGATGATGAAGTACATACTTATCATTGTAGCTTCCTACCTTGGCAGGGTTTACTGGCCTAGACTGGACTTACACACACAGTTAAGTGCTCTTAATTGAGCTTGCAGTAAAATATATGCTCAAGAAAAAGAAATTAACATGGAATTTATGTAGGAAAAGAACTAGAGATGGCATAATGGTTAGTTTTATGTCAGCTGGCTAGGTTATGGTTCCCAGTGGTTTGGTAAATCACTAGCCTAGTTGATCTTATAAGAAGTTACGTGTTTCCAACAACAAGTGGGAAAATTAAACTCCAACTTTATATGGAAAGCAAAGAAGCCCCCGCTGGCTAAAGCAATACTGAAGAAGAACAAAGTAGGAGGCCTCACACTTCTCAATCTCAATGGCAGATACATGAACCAATGGAATAGAATGGAGAGCCCAGAGGTAAGTAAATTCATCCATCTACAGGCAGCTGATCTTTAACAAAGGGTCCGTTCAATGAGGAAGAAGTTGTTTAACAAGTGGTTAAAGAACTGGTTTTCTAGTTGCAGAAAAATGAAACGAGATTCATCCTCACACCATACCCAAAAATTAACTCAAAGTGTATGGAAAGTCTAAATGTTAAAGCTAAAACTATAAAGTTCTTGGAAGATAATATAGGGACAAAATAAGGGAACCTAGGATTTGGGGCACAAATAGCCTATCAAACACAACTAAAAATGTATGAGCTACGGAAGAGAAATGAGATAACTGGGACCTCCTAAAAATTAAATACTTATACTCATCAAAAGACTTTACCAAAAGAGTAATAAGAGAACTCACATTCTGGAAGAAAAATGTTTAGCAATGACATGTCTGACAAAGATCTAATCTCTAAAATATATAGAAAATTTCAACAACTTAACAACAAAAAGCCAAACAATCCAATAAAAAGTTTAAGCAAAGGACATGAACATGAACTACTAAAGAGGACAGTCAGGAGGTCAACAAATACATGAGAAGATGCTTGTGACCATTAACCATTGGAGAGATGCAAACCCAATCTACAATGAGATACCACATCACCCCTGAAAAATTATAATGGTCACAAAGCAGAAAACGACAAATGCAGGTGAGGGTGTGTGGAAATAGGAACTCTTATACACTACTGGTGAGATTGTAAAATGGTACAGCCACTATAGAAAATGGTATGACAAAGATAGAAATACTTTATGAGCCAACAAGCCCACTCATAAGTATATATGTAATTAACATAAAAGCAGTGACACAAATAGGTATATGACTATTATAGAAGTGAACGAACTCCTATGTTCATTGCAGCATTATTCACAATAGCAAAAAGGTAGAGACAACCTAAGTGCCTATCACTGGGTGGATGAATAAACAAATTGTGGTACGCACATGGTTACAAATTGGGCTGCTAACCTCACGGTCATTATTTCAAAACCACCAGCTGTTCTGTGGGAGAAAGATGAGGCTTTCTGCTCCCATAAAGATTTACAGCCTCGGAAACCCTGTACAGGGTTGCTATGAGTC